TGTTTTTTTTTTTTTTTTTTTTTTTTTTGCGGTACGCAGGCCTCTCACTGTTGTGGCCTCTCCCGTTGCGGAGCACAGGCTCTGGATGCAGGCTCAGCGGCCATGGCTCATGGGCCCAGCTGCTCCGCGGCATGTGGGATCCTCCGAGACCGGGGCACGAACCCGTGTACCCTGCATCGGCAGGCGGACTCTCAACCACTGCGCCACCAGGGAAGCCCCAGGCTAGTGTTTTATGTGCCACTCTGTGAAAACTTGCAGGATCTTGGGAGTTCAGAGACTTGAGGCTCTCCCAGCGTCACGGGGTTCGTGAAAAGCAGAGATGGGATTTGAACCCAGGTCTGTCCAACTATATAAAATTTCCCCTACACTCTGCTGTCTCCCTAGACAGCTCCCAGAAATGCAGTTACATCATCCTATATTCAAAAGCTGGTGGGATGATCGACTTAGAAAGATTTGCATCAGACTTCCGGATAAAAGTGCAGCTCCTCTCCACGTGAGCCATTTACAAAAATGGCTTTCAGCCACTCCTAGTATGTCCTTCGTTAATGTCTTTGTGCCTTTTGACTCTTTTTAGGACTTGCCCCATGGGATTTGGCCCAGTGTGGAAAGCTCTCACTTTCTGACTGCAGGTAAGTTTTTCTTTTGGTTGATTTTTTATTGATTTGACCACGAGAGAGAACCAGACCCTAAAGCCGTAGCCCTCCTACTTCTGCCTCCCTTGCCCCCTGCTCACCAGCGTGCCTTAGAGCAAGGCAATGTGTCACCTTCCACAGCAGCGAGTTGGAGTTTGGGTGCACAGCTCAGAATTCGGGGTGAGGTGGTCTGTCTTCATTCCCCCCGAAGGCATCTGATAAAGAAAATGCAGAATGTTTGTATTAGCCAAGTGTATGAGTTTCTTTTCGCTGCATTTCACCACATTTAGTGGTGAAAACAGCACGAAGGTATTCTCTTACGGTTCTGGAGGGCAGAAGTCCAAAATCAGTCTAACTGGTCTGAGTCAAGGTGTCAGCAGGGCCTCACGCCCTCTGAGGCCCTAGGACGAAGGCCTTTCCTTCTCCAGGATCTGGAGCTGTATTCCTTGCATTCTGCAGGTCATGGCCCCTTCCTCCAGCCTCCAGGCCAGCAGAATAGCATCTTGCCTCAGCGGGCACATGGCCTTCTCTTCTGCCTCTCAGATCTCTCTCTACCTCACTCTTTAAGGACACCTGGGATTACATTTATGGGCCCCTGGGTAATCCAGGTAACTTCCCCATCACAAGGCCCATAATTTAATCACATCTGCAGAGTCCCTGTTGCCATATAAGGTAACACATTCACAGGTTCCTGGGATTAGGACCTGGGTATCTTTGGGGACTGTCATTCAGCCTACCACACCGGGTGACAGAAATTCAACTGAAACTGACTTAAGCAAAGAGGAATTTGTTGGTCCCTATAACTGGGCCTCACAGGCCCTAGGCACTGCTGGATGCGGGAGTGGTGTTCTCAGGGCTCTGCCTTTCTCTCTCTCTCTCTCTCTCTTTTTTATTGGGGTATAGTTGCTTTACAATGTTTTGTTAGTTTCTACTGTACAATGAAGTGAATCAGCTCTATGTATACATATATCCCCTCCCTCTTGGACCTCCTTCCCATTCCCCCCCCCCATCCCACCCATCTAGGTCATCACAGAGCACCGAGCTGAGCTCCCTGTGCATACAGCAGGTTCCCACTAGCTATCTGTTTCACACAAGGTAGTGTATATATGTCAGGGCTCTGCCTTTCTCTTTCCATCGCGGCCCCTGCTTTCCTCTGGTGAGTGTGATTTTCAGGAACATTCTTTCCACGTGGTGGGAAAGGCAACCACGGGCAGCCCTGGACTTCCAGGAGTCTGACTGCTGCCACTTGCAGAAAGGAAGAGACTTCCCAGCAGCTTGGCAAAAGCTCAGGAAAGACCAATGGGTGCAGCCTGGGTCCCGTGCCAGTCCCCGACCCTGTCACTGGGGCTTGGGGGGAGAGTGTTCTGGCTTCTGTGCCTAATTCTGGCCTCCTGGGGACCAGGATGGGCTGGGATCCAGGTTTTTCTGTATAGACTAAGACTCTTACTGACGTGTGTGTGTGTGTGTGTGTGTGGCGGGGGCTACCATGAAGGGAGGGGTCCTGGGCAGGCAGAATAGTTTTTTTGTCCAGAATCTGCTTGGTACAGATTATGAATACACCTCTTTCTTTTTTTTTTTTTTTTTCACCTCTTTGTTTTATACCAGGGATAAACATATTTCATTTCCTGGGGGAGTTAAAAGTACTTTTTATATCTTTTATTACTCTCTGCAGTCTTTACATTTTACAAAATCCAATGTTTTCATTTACATAAAATAGGTTGAGGTGACATCACAGTAATCACAGAGACCTTTTAGCCACTGATTAAGCAGACTTGTCCGTCAAAGGGAGCGCAGTGCACTAAGGACTGTGGTTGTAGTGAGAGCAGGGGGTGGAGGACTAAAGCCACTGGGAGGGCTTCAGGGAGGGCTTCCTGGAGGAGGTGCTGCTCAACTGAGTCTTGAGGAGTGGCAGTGAGCAGGACAAGGGGATGGAGGGAGAGGCTTCCAGGCCTGTGGCAGCCCAGAGGCGAGGGAGTAAGGGTGCATCCAAACACCTGCACAAATAGTACAGGTGACCCACGTGACAGTGGCACTAGTGGGGAGGCTGTTGGGCAATGATGCAGTGGGTGGTGATGGTCACTTCGGAGCTTGACTTCCTTCTATACTGTCTGTGGACAGTAGCTGTGGCTGCCTCATTCAGGTCTTCATCAGAGCCTGCGGCTGGGCCTTCTGAAGGCCTGGAGGAGCAGGGGGCACCTGCAGGATGCCTGCACCAGAGATAAAGCCCAGAGTGGCCTTAGGATTTTACATCCAGCAAGTCTCCTGGGAAAGCATTTGTTCTTAGCCCGAGGGGCTGGGCTGCGGTCCAGAGGTGGGTGTCCTGTCCCACTTGTGTGATTGACTCAAACAATCCCGACTGAGCAGCCAGCCTGGGAAAGCTCCTGCCTCTTTCCATGTGAGGGCTGTCAATTCCCCAATGCTCACCTTTGTCACCATTCCAACATCATGAACTGAATCAACCACAGATACTATTCTAGGAAAAAAGATGTTGATTTTATCTAGGATTCCAGTTCCATGTCCTTTTTTTTTTTAATTTTAATTTTTCCTACATGTATTTAGAAATTCTATTAAAAAAAGCTTTCAGAAGCACTTCTAAAGACCTTGCTATCAATACTCTGTGTAAGAAAGACTGAATAACAGGACTCATTCTCAGTCAATATAAGTTTATATCTGGATAGAAGATAAATGTTGAAAAGGCACAACTCCACAATTTAGGTCACTTCAAAATATAAATTTACACAGTGGTCAGATGAGTCTCCCAAGGACACAGCTGGTGAGTGACAGAGCCAGGATTCGAACGCAGGGCGTGTCTGATGCCAGCTGTGTAAGAATCACCTATGGCTCCTCCCTTGCCTAGTGGTTCTGACTCAGTAGGTCTGGGGCGGGGCCCAGGAATGTACATTTCAGCCTACAGCCCAGGTAAGGAGCACAGACTTCTCGAAGCACTGTCCTTAAGCTCTGTGTCTCCCAATGAGAATGCCTCATCTTCTTGGCAAAGATATGGTAAGTCATTCATTCATTCACTCATTTATTCACTTACTCAGCAAAGATCTTCCAAGTGCCTTCACGTACCATGTGGTTTGCCTCTGGAGTTTAACCGCTGCCTTTCTGTATTATGTAATGCATGTGCATTGTTATTTTGCAGTAGAAGCGCCATTTGGAATGAAATTCAATAAGAAAACTGAAGTCTTTAACCCACCCCCGACTTCTGCAGCCTCTAGTGGGCCATGGATTCATTCCATATATGCTTTTATACGCTCGTGGCCCAAGAAGACCTTGTTTAAAAGAGAGTCTGCTGTAACACACCACTTGGTAAGTAACATGCTCAGTTCTTTAAAAGACATATCAGAAGTTGTAAAGAAGCCAACTTTGGACCATATGTGTAGAAATGTCACAGGCTTTTGTTCCTCCAAAAAACCTGTTCTTCCTCTTGCACTGGATATAGTTATCATTGGGAAGCAAATCCCTCTTACTTTCCGGAGAGCTGCTGCTTCTGTACAATATACAGTATTTAGATGAACAGGATGTGTGAATCTGAGCATTGGGCCCCCGCGTCAGCTGGTTCTAAAGCAGGGCAGGGGGTCCTGTTTTAACCAGACTGATTCACTTTGCCCCTGTTATAAAAATGCTGCTACCGATAATAGGGCTAGGTGTTTAACAAATATTTTCTATTTGCCAGGCATGAGGCTTAGCACTGTCTATGCATAATCTCACTGGAGCCTCATTACGAGTTTCTTAAACAGGTACTGTTTTTGTTCCCGTTTTACAGAGAGGAAATGAGGATTGGAGAGATTAAGAAGCTTGTTCAGGGTCCCACAGGCCGAAGTGGCAGAGCCAGGATTTGGAGCCCCTGCTCTTAACCACTGCCCCTGCTCCGGCTGTCCTTCATAGTCTGTGTAATGTGTTGGCTTCACATAGCGCTGACTTCACCTAAGCTTTCATGACTTAAAATGCCTTGAGGACCACTGCGTTCAGCCAACAGGCTACCATGGCCACAAGCCCCTTCTTGGCCCCCGGCTACATGTTTGTATTAATTTCCTAAACTGTGTAACAAATTTCCACCAACTTGGTGGCTTAAAACAATGACATTTATTCTCTCCCTGTTCTGGAGGTGGGAAGTCAAGGTGTCAGCAGAGACGTGCTGTCACTGGGGGCTTGTAGGAGAAGACCCATCCTTGTTTCTTCCAGCTTCTGATAGCTTTCCTTGGTTTGTGGCTGCCTCACTCCAATCTCTATATTAGGATTCCCTGGAGAAACAAAACTGGTAGAAACAAAACAGGTAGGACACATGTGAGCGAGAGAGGGGGGGAATTTATTTTAAGGAATTGCTCATGTGATTGTGGGGACTGGCAAGTCCACACTCTGCAGGGCAGGCTGGAAACCCAGGGAAGAGCTGATGCTCAAGTTGGAAAGGTGTCTGCCACAGAATTCCCTTTTCCTTAGGGAAAACCTCAGTCTTTTCTATTAAGGCCTCACCTGATTGGGTGAGGCCCACCCACCTCATGGAGGGTCATCGGCTTTATTCAGAGTCCATTGACCTAAACATTACTCTCATCTAAAATACCTTCACAGTGATATCTGGGCATGTTTGACTACATATCTGGGTACCATGGCTGGGTACCGTGGCCCAGCCAGTGGACGTGTAACATTTACTGTCACTCTGTTTCCACCTTCTTGTGGCCTCTTCTCTGTGGGTGTGTATTCTCCTTTTCTGTCACTGATAAGGACACTTGTCATTGGATTTAGGGCCTAGCTAAATCCAATCCACCTAAATCCAGAATGATCTCATCTTGAGAGCCTTGGCTTAATTACATCTTCAAAGACCCCTTTTCCAAATAGCGTGACATTCCCAGGTTCCGGGCTTTAGGACGTGGAGCCACATTCAACCCACCATGTTGGTTATCGTCTTTCCAACCCTCTCCAGTGACAGGTGACTCAACCCCTCTTTCGGCAGCACCTCCATACCCCCATCCTGTGTGTCTTTGCCCAGCAAGCTATGTTTATTCAATTGTCGTTTGCAAGATGCTGTGTGGGGATCAGAAGAGTAGAAAGCCAGGCGTCTGCCCTCAAGGACTCACTGGGGGCCTGGCACATCACAGCACGAGGGGGGGGTCGTGGACAGAGACTCAACTGGAATCGGAGGCCTGGTCAGCTTATGCTGCTGCATGTGGTTAGCGTGTTCTTAGGAACATTACTTCCCCTTTCTGTGTCTTTGTTCGCTTCTGTACAATGAGAGGGTCCCGCTCTGGAGAGGGGTGTGTGATGTGGGAGGATAGGATACAGAGCACACAGCCTGGGGATACAGAGCACACAGCCTGGGGTGGAGGCCAAGCTTCGTGCCTATGCAGCCTTGGGCAAGTGCGTTAACCCTCATGAGGCTTAGTTTCCTCATCTGTAAGATGGGAGTAATAGAATTCATATGTGTACAGTGACGGGCATATGCCTGGCACTTGGGAAAGAATAGCAATTGTTATGATCGTTGGTATCACTGAGAGCTGCCGTGGTCTGTGATTGAGAGTATGGCTCCACCCACTGCAGATGGAGCGGGGCAGGGCAGACAGCGGGGAGGCATGGCCTGGGATCACGGGGCATATGGCAAGGGCGGAAATGAACAGGGACCGGTTGTGATTACGAGGGGCAGCGGGGCTGGCATCTGGTGGGCGAGCTCTGGCTTTCCACTGGTCTCCTTCCAGGGGAGCCATCGTGGGGCTGGAGGAGCCCAATCCCGGGTTGATTCTCTACCTGTCGATGATGCATCCAGCTCATGGGAGGTGCCCCAACATGCTGTGGTCCACGTTCACTCAGTCCCTGCTGTGTGGCTGGTGTACCCCACACAAGACATATGTGCAGTCTTTAAAGGATTTTTCCATAGCTCTGCTCACATTCCTCCTGCTTAAGTGTCAACCCTGGTTTGCTGAGTCCCTGTGACAATGGTGTCATTGACACGCACCCCAGACCAGGACATAGCCCCGTGTGATCCACGTCCATGTTCCAGGTTTTAAGTTCCAGTCCTGTAATACTACTTTTAAAAAAATCTTCAGGATTGATGGGAGTTACTACACCAGCAGAAGTAACCCCTCTGCCTGGCCCTTTTAAAAGTTCATCTTGGGCTTCCCTGGTGGCGCAGTGGTTGAGAGTCCACCTGCCGATGCAGGGGACGTGGGTTCGTGCCCCGGTCCGGGAGGATCCCACATGCCGCGGAGCGGCTGGGCCTGTGAGCCATGGCCGCTGAGCCTGCGCGTCTGGAGCCTGTGCTCCGCAACGGGAGAGGCCACAACAGTGAGAGGCCCGTGTACCGCAAAAAAAAAAAAAAAAAAAAGAGTTCATCTTGTACTTTACTTGACAAATGTAACATGAAATATTTTTCATTTTCTAATGATTTCTATATTTTATTGTAGCATGGAGACATTTCAAGAGACATTCAAGGAACTTCTGAGAATGGAGTAATTTTTCAGAAATGTGCAGTGGTGAGTATTCATAGGTAGTTTATACTTAAAGAGAAAATAATTGAATTTGCCCAAATCATATATTAGTAGAGTTATGTATTTAAAGAACTGGCGAATCACGTGGTTATCTACCCATGTCTGGACACGGGTGATGTTGTGACCCACAGGGATCTTATATTTTATATGGCAGCACCAGGACTAAGATTTTTTGGTAACAATAAAATTATTGGCAGTGAAAATCCTCTGTGAACATTTAAAATGAGAAAGTATATATTTTCTCTCAGATTTTAACATTGATATGATGCCCTACAGTTTAAAAACTCACTTAATGTCTTTTAGGTCTTTGACCCTTACTAATCTCATGAGATGGCTTTCACATGATCCTGTGTTGAGGGTCCCCAAGACCACCCTCAGGTTCAATGCTTCCCTAGAAGGACTCACAGAACTCAGAAAAGCGGTTCTACACACAGTTACAGTTTATAACAGCAAAATGAAATAGATTATAGTCAGCAAAGAAAAAGGCACATAGGACAGAGTTCTGGGGAGACCAGGCCCAAGACAGCCAGTCTTCTCCTGGTGGAGTTGAAGGAACAGCGTTTAATTTGCCCAGCAGTGATGTGTGGCATCAACCAGGGATGCTCACCCAAGCCGTGGAATCCAGGATTTTTATTAAGGATCCATCACGTAGGCATGGAGCACCCATGTCGCTGACCTCCGTTATTCAGGTCACCTGAACATAGCTTGGCCCAAGACCCTCACCGTGAACCACATTGTTTGCAGAGGCTACCTGGGGCGGCCCAAAGCCGTAGGATATAAAGACACTCTTATCAGGCAGGATATGCCAAGGGCTTTAGAGGTTAGTCTCCCAGGAGCTGGTCCTCTCTTTGGGATGTGCAGGGTTTGGACAATCCAAGCCTGCTGAGCCGGCCAGGTACTGCACAGCCCTCATTTCAGCCCAGGCCCTCAGCTCTCTTGCTCCCCTTCCTGGATAACATTGGTATTACCAGTTTCTCCTGTGTCCTTCTAAAGATGTTTCCTGCCACACGCACTCAGTTATGAGTGTGCGTGTGTGTGATGCACATAGGGACACACACATACCTTCCTTCGTCCCCTTTTTACGTTGGTGCCAGTGTTCCATACACGAAGTTTTACAACTTGCTTTTTTCATTTATTACGTTCCAGAGCTCACTCTTCTTGGGACATACATGGCTTCCCTCTCTTTGCTCAGCTCCTATGTCTCTTTCAGCAGAGCTGGGGTGAAGGAAGGGCAGGAGTGGTGGGAGACAGGGTTCGAGAGAGGGAGCAGGGCAACGTCGCAGAGGCCAGGTGGGGAGCCAAGTTGCTGAGGGGCCATTGGCTTTGAAGAGCTGAGCTATTCATTTAACTTTTTTTTTTTTCTGGCCTCACCACATGGCTTGGGGGATCTCAGTTCCCCGACTAGGGATTGAACCTAGGCCACAGCAGTGAAAGCCTGGAATCCTAACTACTAGGCCACCAGGGAACTCCCTAGCCCTGAGCTGTTCAAACACATGGGCAGGCAGAACCCTGAAGGGGGTGGCTGGCCAGGAGACAGGAGACCAGCTTGGGGCAAACCTGGAGATCAGATGGCAGTCAGAGGCCCTGGACTGGCTGGGGCTGAATCTTCAAACCAATAGATTAAGAAAGAGCCACTGTTTGCTTCTCTTGGGGACACCAGTTGTCACAGTCTCCCCAGCCTGGCTGTGGTCCTGTGCGTGGATGTTTTTTCTTCTAAGTTTCTCTGTGGGCATGATTTCACTGCATTTCAGGGTCCCGGTTTCTTTGAAATTATCTCTGAGCAACAGCTTGGCAAGCGGGAGTCAAAATTCTCCTGGGGCCTTTGAAATCAAACCTGATAAATTCTAGAACCTTTGTGAGACCTTAATCCCCTCCCACGGGCACAGGTTGAGCTGGGGCCTCGTTTTGGGAAGTTGGCTTTGCCAGCAAGCCCATCCTCACTTGGCCTCCTGTCCTAGGTGTCCGTGCAGAGCGAGTGGCCAACAGCTCGTGTGCGACTGTTTGTGAACAACACCAGGACGCCCGCGGCTGCCAACCTCTCTGACCTGCTCTTACTGGACAACATCACCGGCCTCACCGTTAGGGAATCGGCTGGAAACCAGACCTCAAGAGGGTTCCAGGCTTTCAGGAAGAAGTTTCTGCAAGGTAATAGCCACATGTGTATGAAGTCAGGGGTGGAAAATGATGAAAATACGTACAGATACTCACAGAGCACGGGATGTGCAGCAGGCATCTTCTTAGACACGTGACATGTGTTCATGCAGTTGGTCCTCACAACGGATTGTACTATCAGGGCATCAGAGGAGGAGACCACTGCTCAGTATCTGCAGCTGGCTTGTCACTTAGGCTGAGAGAGGTGGGATTTGGGGAAAGAATTTTTGAAATATATATATATATATATATATATATATATATATATATATATATATTCAACCATTATTATGAAAAATTTCAAACATCCACAGAGATTATAGTGAACCCCAATATATCCATCACCCCGATGACCAAAATGACCATCACTCAGTGAAATGAAGAGCTTGTTTTGGGGAGTGCTGGACAGACATGGGTGTGGTCTGACATCAGCCCTGGAAGCATGCTCTTGACATGTTCAAGCGTGTTCAGGCGTGTTCACGGGAGTAACGCCGCTACTGATTGGCTCCCTTTCAAGGTATGACACCGTCACTGATTGGCTTTCAGAGATGTGTTTCCTGAGGCGAGTTGTCATTGGTTAATTAAGGAGATTTGAAACCAATTCTGGATGCAGTTGTTACTATGACTTCAGAACTGTCAGTTTTCCTAGGAAGGTGAGATTTCTTTTATTCTGAGTAGGTGCCCTGTCTTCAGATAAAGAGACTAAGGTGGTGAGGAACTTGCCCAAGGCCATAGGACTGGCACTCAAGGCTGAGATTCAAACTCAGAAAGTCTGGATTCCTCCATCCACCCCGTACCCAGGATGCTCTAGTGCCTCTCACACTCCTGGGACTCTTACTGACCTCTCCACTTCCATACAGATGGCCCACGTGGCTCATCAATCCCACCACTCTTTCTCTCTGAGTCTAGATGAAGCCTCAGAATCCTTCTTAACACCACATTATTGACAGAAGCCACCAGTGGAGTTGGCCCACAAGTAATGACCTCTTTGCTGGCTCTGGTTTAAGCAGTGTCATAAAAACTGTATGATACATCCCAGCTAAGTGATCTTCAGTGCCTTTCTTCAATGATGCAAAAATAAATCCCCCCAATTCTTAAACTGGTGCTCAGAGAAAAGAACGTGGGGCTGTAAGCAGAGCACAGACTCGGTCTCAGACAGACCTAGCTTGACTCCTAACTTAGCCATTTTGGAGCTGTGTGGCCCCTGTAAATCACCATCTCTGAACTCCAGATGTGGCATGTGTATAAGAGCCTCGTAGAGCTGTTGCAGAGGCGAGACGAGGTGATGTAGCCTGGCGCTCTGCCTGCTCCGGTGTGGCTTGCCTCTCTTGTCTTGTTGCTCCAGTGGTATTTTGTAGTCCATGCTCCTGCGGATCGCACTTGTCACTTTTCTCCCATGGCTCGGCATCAGCTCCTGCTCTCGTGTCCGTCTGGAGGGTCCTTCTCACCTTCCCTGCATCTCATTCACGTGCCCCTCCTGCATTTCACCTGCTTGGAGCCTGGACCACCCGGGCACTTCATGCATGAACTCACTGACTTCCACCCCAACACATGAGCTCTGCACACCCTTGAACCTCAGCCTCTGCTCCTGTGAACTGTCAGTGCTGGTGACACACTTCAGGGAGTCCTTATAAGGAGAAGCTAGTTCATTCATGAAAAGCAGCACAGCCTGGCCCGTGGGAAGTGCTCCCAAGTCCATGGCTATTTTGTTGTGATTATTTTTATTTTTTATTTTTGTGTTTGGTAAAAAACACATAAGATCTGCCCTCTTAACAAGCTTTTAAGTATACAGTACAGTGCTGTTAACTGTTGTCCAGCAGATCTGTAGAACTTTTTCATCCTGCATGACTGAAACTCTATCCCCATTGAATAGCAACTCCATTGCCCCCCGCCTCCCAGCCGCTGGCAACTATGTTTATTCTTGTGACTGTATAATTATTGTATGTATGCCCTCGCCGTACCTCTGACTACTAGATTCTACATGCCCTGAGAGTAATATCCAAACTGTGTTTGTCTGTGACTTACCGCAATCTCAAGGGATATGACATTGGTTTTCAACTTAGTGGCATGAAACTTTTTTCCCAAAGAATAAGTATAGAACTACAGAATCAAATGACCCATCCGACCCCAGCTCATTGATGCTCTGACAATATCAATATCATTTTCATCATCATCATCATTTGCTGCTTTAAAAGAGCCACAGGTCCAAGAGGGATGGGTGGCTTCCTACTTATTAACTGGGTGACCCTAAACGAGTCACTTCATCTCTGTCAGTCTCAGTTTTCTCTTCTGTCCGCAGCAGGAAATATTGTACTTTCCATCTGTCTCAGGACACCATTTGGGGATCAACTGGTTGATGTCCTGCAGACATTTTGAGGGTGATAAAATCACTGCCAGGTCTGATTATAGTGACCTTCACTGGTATTATCCTTTTAATAAGCAATTTAATCTTTATCACCTTATCTTTACGATCTAACTTTTATCATTATACACAAATAAAGTAAAAATGTTGAGGCTTTTTAAAACAAAAATCCTAGGGATTCCACAGGCTCAGTGCTAATTTCTCCTCTTTTCTTTACATCTTTTTGAGGTCTCAGTCGATTGAGAGATGAAGCACATTATAGCGTATTAGGGATAAAATATCACCCCGATACAGGTACAGGCAGAATCAGAGGACAAGTGTAGCTGAAATCAGGTGGGCTGGCTGACTGACCAGCAGAATTGGACAGGATTTGTCACCCACTGGGCATGATGGGATGGCTCCCCCATCCTGACAAAAAAGCAAGCCGGAGTCTTGCTTTCTGCCAGTAGCCCACTCCCACGAGTAAGATAGACTGACTGGCAATGCATACCCAAACTTTCCATCGGATGGCGTGCACTGCTCAGTGAGAAAGGGGCAGGGAGAGGCCAGCCCTGTTTCAGGTGGGGCACCCATGCTCAGGGACAGAAACCTCAAGGGTGGTGGGTATGTGCTTCCCTTGCCGATCTCCGTCGTTTTGTTCTCCAAACCCACTGGGCTTCTGGTTAATCTGAGGATTGCCAGGGGGGTGACTAGTGCCCTGGGGAAGGAGAACAGCCATTGGTCGGGACTCAGGACAGCCCTGCTCCCCCAAACCCCCATTCGTTGCCCCTGTGTGTGTCCTTCTGGGACTGCTGGTTGGTGGAAGAAATTTTTTTTCCTGCCCCATGAAGGTTTTGGAAATGACTCGAGTGTTACATTATTGAAATAAACTCAAAGGATACTCCAGACCCTAGGCGGGAAATGCTCCCTAATTCTAAAACCCATTCAGATCACATCCTGCTATGCTATTAAACAAAGTATGTCAGCGGTTTTGCAGTATGATTCAAGGACAACCCTGAGTTCATTCGCATCAAGATCCTCCAACCATGACCTGCCAGCACCTCCCTTTTGCAAATTCTCCCGGAGAAATGAAAAGTTCAGGAATGAATCCCTGACGGATAGAAATCCAAATATATTCAAGTCCAAAAGGAATTAAAATCTGAGATCAAAATTTTTGCTCTTGTAAGTTTTGAAGTCCACAGTCAAAATTCTTAAATTAAGGTTCCCCAGACCATCTTCCCATTGTTTTATTCTGTCCAGACTCCCCCTGATGGTTGTTGCTGCTGGGAGGAGTTGGGGTTCCTTCAGCAGACGAAAGGGTGCAGCTCCTTGACTCAGAAGCTGAAATTCATTGAACCCCAGTTTTTTCATATGCTTCACTTTTAAAAATTTCCATGGAGGTAAGGGACGTGAGAGTATCATATAAACAAAATGTGGTCTATCCATACGGTGGGATATTACTCAGGAGTAGAAAGGAATGGAGTATTGGTACACACTATGACATGTATGAACCTCAAAAAAAAGAGGTTTGCTCGGGGAAAGAAACCAGACACAAAGAACACAGCTTGTATGATTTCATTTCTATGAGATGCCCAAAAAGGCCAGTTAGTCCCCAGAAAGTAGATCAGTGGTTGCCTAGGGCTGGGGGTGGCTATGGAGAGTAACTGCCATTGGGCACCAGGCTACTTTTTAGGGCGATAAGGATGTTCTGGCATCAGACTGTGGTGATGGCTGTACAACTCTGTAAGTATACAAAATTCTCTAAATCTCATGCTTAGAACAGGTGAATTGGGTGATGTATAAATTTTATCTCAAAGCTGTTTTTTTTTTAAAAAAAGTATCACAATCTCATTTCCACATCCACCCTATTCAGACAACCAGCCGCCAGTCTCAGCCTCTGGACAGACATGGCCATGTCCCCAAAGTAGCACTCAGCATCCTCCCCAGGCCATGGCTGAGGCTTAGAGGCATCCGTCAGAAAGAGCAAGGACAGAGATGTTGCTTTAGTTCACACGTGCCTTCGGTTTCTGCCAGGGATCTGGAGCCCACCTGAGAACGTCAGCTCAGTGGGAGAACTCCGCCTTTAGTAGTTACGGTGGCCACAGTCTATTTCCAACATCAGACGGAAGGGTCCCCAGGGCACTCCGGCTCTACCTCCAGAAGGTGGGGCTGAGACATCCCTGCCTCCTACAAAACTGGAAACCTGCAGTGGTGGCCACCCTGTCACCCACTTTCTTTTGGGGTCCCTCTTTTTCCACCCGTGCCTCCAGAGCCTGCTTGTCCACCTGGGGGTGTGACTGAGTGTGGCCCCTCCCGATAGCAGAGCCGTCTTCTTCTAACCAGTCCTGGCTCCTGACTAAGGGGAGCTTTGAGTCAGAAACCCCGTCTCCTAGGAAGCTTCTCTGTTTGTGTACTTAAGCCATCGAAGGCCAGCCAGAGACCATGAGGTTGGAGAAGACCCTGGGTGAGCCTGAGGGGCCTTCTCCGCTGCCCCCTCCCGGGCCCAGTCTGGCATTGCTTCCCTGTGCTGTGTGCTGGGCTTTCAGAACCAGCTGGAGGTGTCAAAGCGGCAGCTAGTGTCGCCCGAAAGTCCTATAAAAACTCTGTCCCATCCTTGTGTGGATGGGATCATTGGGAACAAATAGGTCCCCACCTGGATTCAGAGCAAAACAAAAAGGTTCTGGATTTCCTAAGTGTATGACATCCTGAATTAGGAGGACTGGCCTGCCCAGCCCCAGGATGTGGTGGAGCCCAGGTAAAACTCCTTGTAAGGGTGCTGACAGCCTTTCCAAGTGAAAAAAGAGGGGGTCCAAGAGCACACCTGCCCAGTTTCTTCTCCCTGATAAAAAGTATGTGAGATCAAAGGGGCTCTTGCTGCCGCTGTCAGCTGTGATGCCAGCCGCCTTTGGATGCTTGGCTTGTCTGGGGCGTGACAGGGGCCCCGGTCTTGACCCACCTGTGCCTTCTCTCTGAGCAGTTGGAGACTCCTTCTCCGTCAGCTACACAGCATCGCTCGAGGCCAGAGACGTTGGGAGTGGAGAGGTCCTGATGCTTCCTGCCCAGCTCTCCTTCCAGAGTTCATCACTGGTATTGTCTCTGTTACTTTGATTTCTTTCTTGTCACTGTTGTTTTAGAAACCCTGGACACAACATCTGTTAGTTCATTCTTTTCTTCGTTCCATCCTTCATTTGTTCAGTGATACCCAATTCTGGATAAATGCGCAGGCCCTGGAATCTCACGCACTTGACCACGAATCAGGCTCCCTCGAAGCTCCTTGTGACCTTAATTACTTTAACTTCTGTGGACCTGATTATCAAGATATGTAAATGATAGATGTTAATTTCTCATCGCTGTGTCCTGGGCGTAGTAAGCACTCAGCCAAATATCTCCCATTTGTATTGGTTTGCTAGAGCTGCTGTGAAAAAGTACCACAGACCAGATGGCTCAAAAACAACAGAAATTTGTTTGTTCACAGTCTTGGAGGCTGGAAGTCCAGATCAAGGTGTGGGCAGGGTTGGTTCCTTTTGAGGCCTCTGTCCTTGGCTTGTAGATGGCTGTCTTCTCCCTGTGTCCTCACATGGTCGTGCCTCTCTGTGTGTCTGTGTCCTAGTGTCCTCTTCTTTTAAGGACACTTTTCAGGTGAGATCAGAGTTCACCTCGGTGGTCTCATTTTACCTTAATCACGTCTGTAAAGGTTGTCTCCAAATACAGACACATTCTGAGATACTGGGGATTAGGGCTTCAACGTATGGATTTTGGGGGGACGTGATTTAACCTGTAACCCCATTCCTATTAGCACCTTCATTTTCCATTCACTTTTTTGTTAATCCACATAGGCAGTGAATGTGGTTGGTTGCATGACCCGTGGTACATGCTGTACACTTCTGGGAATACAGAGGAGATCTGTGCTCCGCTTGAGGCCGGAGACGTTGGGAGTGGAGAGGTCCTGATGCTTCCTGCCCAGCTCTCCTTCCAGAGTTCATCACCGGTATTGTCTTTGTTGTCAAGACAATGTTATCAAGGTCTCCGGCCTCGAGATCAAGGATCTCGTGCTCTAGTTACTCTGGTCATTTTGTTCTGATTTCAGTCCCTGGAGAAAGTACCTTTTATAATAGACTTAGAAAATGAGGCTCCAAGGGTGACTGCCCCAGGTCACGTGGCAGAATCAACATCGGACCTCACAGCTGCCGGATCCTTCCATCCAAGGCTGGGGAGCCTGTGTGCAGTGTTTCTGCTGCAATAAGAAAAATAGTCCTGGATAAAATTAAATAAAATGAAAGATTCCCAAAAGGTAAAGACCAGATATGAGAAAACTGTATAAAACTGTCAGAAAAGACAGATGTCTCCAAACACAGTTAAGTGAAAAGTCAAGAACAGAGGACAAAAATGGAGGTAAAATGGCCCAGAAGAAACACCATCCGAATTTCAAAGGACAGGAAATCCAATATGTTAAAATCAAAATTTAAGATAAGGCAACAGTCAGAAACCAACAGTGCGAAACTCAGAAACCCAGTGAAATTGGAAGCCTCCACCTCCTCGTGTAGG